TTCTGTTCAGCTATTATAGGCCATGACCTAGCCCTGACATACATCTAAGCTCATTCACAGATAAAGAAAGGCTTCCACAGAACTGTTTTAGGTAAGTCTGCTACATAGCTTCTTTAGAACTCACTAGCCGGTTCGATGAACAGCATTTAGCGCACCACCAGCATAAAAAGGAATTAATACAGTAATTCTGCAGTCATGATCTTCCATATTTTTATGCAAGCAGCTATTCAACTTCTGTAATTTTATAAATATGCAGATTCCTAGAGGCATTTAGAAAGCATCCAGTGATGACGTGATATAAAGTTTCAAGCCAAAACTCTGCAAAACTATGCTTTACAGTGCAAAAATTCATTAAGCTATTTAAATAATCTCCCTCTCTTTCTCTGATGTAAGAAAAATAGCTGAAAGGAGAGTTTTGTACTAGTGTGATGACAATCAGAGGAACTATTTAATCCTTTCAAAGACTTTTAATTTATTCTTTTCTTGCTTTCAAAAGAGTGACAAAAAAGAAATGGAAGAGTGCACAGATGAAAATACATACATTGTCAAAGGGAAAAAAAACACGGAAAGTGTAATCCTTTCCAAATCTCCTTCCAAATTTTCTCCTTCCAAGTACCTCTCTCAACAAAATCTTCTCCTTGTTGGATTCAGATGTGTGCCTGCACTTCTGTTTTGCCATGTTGTTGTTTTTATATATATTTTTATACTAAAGGTAAAGATTTCCCCTGTCCAATCATGTCCAACTCTAGAGCATGGTGCTCATCTCTTTCTTAACTGAGGGAGTCACCATTGTCTGAAGATGCTTTCATGGTCATGTGGCTGGCATGACTATATGCTGAGGTACATGGAATGCTGTTACCTTCCCACTACCTATTTATCTACTCACATTTCCATGCTTTCGAACTACTAGGTAGGCAGGAGATGAGGCAAGTAATGGAAGCTTACCCTGTCGCAAGGTTCTAAGATCTCAAACCCAAGCAGCTCAGCTTTCTTTCTGTCTTAGATCAAACAGAATTAAGACAGAGTCAGTTTATGTTTTTTAAAAAATGGTTTTCTTCCCACACTTCATTCATGTTGTGCTAAGTTTATGAGCAAACAAATTGTGCATATCCAACAGCAAAGAACTCCTTGGAAAGGCCAGCACCTCTGCGAAGCAAGTGGGATCATAGACTATTTTGTACCTCTCAATGGACCCTATTTGCTTACTGATAATTTTGCAAACTGGGTAAGAGAATAACATCAGTTTTGAAAACTGGGAAGGTTAAGTTTGAAACACAGATATAGAAAGGAATAATACCAGGAGCAATTTTGAAAAGTACACCAGAATTTTAGGAAACAGCCCTGTCACAGGAAGTATGCTTCTACTAAAAGTTTGAATAGTACCAAAAATCCCATTCTCACTGATGGTCCAGAGAATACCATGACTAGTGGTATCAAATGCAACCAAGCCAGTGGTGAGTTGCTACCAGTTCGCCATGGATCGGGCAAACTGGTAGCGGTGGCAGCAGGAGGCTCCACCCACCCGCCCAGACATCTCTGTGCATGCGCAGAAGCATCACGCATGAGCGCACGCATGTCCACAAGTGAACCGGTAGCAATGAGATTTGAATCCCACTACTGAACCAAGCAATCAAGCAGGGCAAGGAGAGGTATGCTCCCTTAATCTAGATTCTGCAGCAATTCATCTACAAGAACAAGTCAACCATTTTCTGTTTTCTACCCTATACCGAACCGAGACTGCAAGGGACCCATATAAATTGCTTCATGCATGGCCATTTGTGGCTTCCACTCCAGTGCAAGGATCAAGTATATAGCTGATGGTGTTCATCTTGCAAACAACTCTGACCATTTCCTCAGAGTTCACAAGTTTGAATCTCAAATCACCTGTCATGAGACTTCACCGACCCAACATCCAACTCAGAGTGAATATGGGTGATTTTGTTTTGAAAGTGTTTTGTAAATAGGTCATAGTACCCTGCAAGAAATTTTTCCACTCTATTAAGGTAACCCTAAACATTTGTATTTCCTTGCAACACAAAGTTGCAATAACTAGGGAGATGTCAACCTTGCCTCTAGGTTACAGTCAATTATATTTGCTCTTTGTCTTTTTCCATATAACTCCGCTTGTCTCTTATGACATTCCATCTTCTCAGTAATTCAAGAAACTCCCTGGGTTGATTACCCAGAGAGGCCACTCAAGAGAAATCCTGTTAAGCACTTTCATCCCCTCCTTACTGTCAGCCAGGCATCTGACGGAACAGTCTGTCAGATTGTTGGCAAACTCCACAACTTCACTCTGAAAATGATCAGAACCCATAAGGCAGCTCAGGCAGATCCTCTTAATTTAGTTTTCTAACAGAGTCATCTAACCACATCTTAACCAGGAAGTGGCTTATCCATGACAAATGAGTAAAGGAGATGATCTCTATCTCCAAATCAAACTCCCATTATTTTACAGTAAAAGTTGGATCCAAAGTCTTTTTGTTTGTTGATTTGTTTCCCACCTTTATTTATTTTTACAAACAACTCAAACATCCAACACAACTTCCTCCCCTTATTTTCCCCACAAGAACCCTGTGAGTTGAGTTGGGCTGAGAGAGTGACTGGCCCTAGTCACCCAGCTGGCTTTCGTAGCTAAAGGATTAGAACTCACAGTATCCTGCTTTCTAGCCTAGTGCCTTAACTACTAGACCAAACTGGCTCAAACTGGTTCCTCTATGCAGTTCAGGTTTATGATAATTTGGGATGAATTCACAGTTGACATAAAATTTAAACTTATCCTGTTCTCCCATCAGGGTATCAAAATTAAAAATTCCCTGCACCAGAGGCTGGGGGACCCATCATTATCCTGGGCATGAAGTCAAATAACTTTACTAAGGATTCTGAGGTAGTACACCAACAACATACCTACCTTACTCTGACATCCAACTCCATAGATAGGATGCCACATCCAGCCACTTGTGGAATGCAACAACTGGTCACCAATGATTAAATGATGTTTAATCATTATATGGGTAATCCTTGAGATCTTTATCAATTTTAAGAGCATTAAAAAAGTAACCAGTAAGAATGATGAATATTTCTCATATTGTATATGACTCTGGCAGGTAAGTCATTTATCTTTCACATACTGATTAATAGAGATCAGATCCTTGAATGATTGTTTAATCAAACCCGCTCAGCCTTTAAAGAGAGAAGGAGAGAGAACAAGAAAGGTTTACAGGGTTATGAAAATGTAACACATCTCAATCTCTTCTACAAATTCAATTTCCTCACAAAGTCTTCTGAAAAAATTGCACTGGTCTTTCCAGTCTATCTCGTTTTCTGATTTATGAAATTGTTTAGAGATAAATAAAATTGATTGGATCAGAAATCCCAAAGGTCCTTTTCCAGGAGGCAACTGGATTTTCTTGTTTTTTCTTTTGAAGATGTTTCATTTCTCATCCAAGAAGCTTCTTCAGCTCTGACAGGATAGTGGGGAAAGGAAGGATTTATATTCCTTGCAGACAGCTGGTCATCTGAATACTTTTAGTGGGTTGTTGAAGCACTTGGAGGTTTATCTGTGTCCTCAGGGTCAACTGAGTGGTGCTCTTGGTTCCTGTAGTCTGCAATTGGATCAGAAAGCAGGTGAGGATCATATAGTGTCCTTTACTATTATATTAATTAGTGATTATGTGTTTTAGAGTTTTCAAATATTTCTTGGGTCCATTATTAACTAATTACAATTGGAAAAGAGATGGAAAGGCACTGAACTATTGCAGATTTATTGGTTAAATGCTTTATGACCTAATGGTTATCACCTTTGTTTAACAAAGAAATCTCAATGTTGGAATTTCACAAAACCTTAAATAAAGTACTTTGTTATACAAGTACTGTATATAATACCCACTGTTCAGGCAACATGTCAAATCTTAACATGGATTAGTAAAGGAATGAAATTATTGTGTTCACGTAACTTTCTATGACCAAACAAATTAACTACATTAGGCTTTAACTTTGTGGCAAGCACATAACACTGAATCACAATCAATGCAATGTTATTTTATCACACTACACAGTTAGAAATTAAAATAACCTCCATGACCTTAAAGAGGGAGGAGTTTAACTACTTCATGGAGAATAACTTTAGTCATGATCTCTGTATGCTACATCCAGATTCACTAGCACATATGTTCAAATTATCATACACAGATTACTTAAATGAGAGTGAGCTATTATCCTCAAATTTTACTTATGGGTTCCCCAGGCCACTTCAGGAAACAAAATAATGGGATTGGCAGTGATTTGGTCTGATCCTGCAGGGTACTTCTTATTGCCTTATGCTCTCCTCTCTCTTTAAGAATTTAAAGGTGTTTCAAATATAAAATTCATAATCTTTTTGTCTGCTTTATTCTATACTCCACAAAGAAAATATATACCAATCTGGGTTCTTATAAGAACCTTCTAAAATGGGGGGGGAAGGGGGGAGAGAGAGAGAGAGATTTCCAGCTATTAAAGAAGGAATAAAACAAACATTGAGCAAAAGTAGCTATCTGTCCTCCCTACCCCCGAAACACACATTGAAGAATAATTAGTATTGATTTTTCTTGCTTTTATTTTGTTTTGCTAACACACATAATGCGCTATATTTTTCTCTATTTCATTTTCACTGTCTTCTAGTTGAAGTTTTTGGCTCGTCTAATTGTGATGTGACAATTGAATTTGGAAATTGAATTAGGCAGGTTTGACTGGAATGCAAATAAAGGGGGGACAGAGAGTGGGGAAGACCCAGATATGCTTCTCTCCGAGCTCCTGAAACCTATGGGAGAGATATTTTCAGGGATTGGGAGAAGAGGAGTGAAAATGGAAAAGGACAAGCAGGAAGGCTAATAGCCCCGCCCTTCCTGCTTCTGAGAGCTAGCTAGGACAATTATTCTCACTTACAGATGCTGGCGAAGAGGATCTAGGAAGTGAAAGATTCCCATCACCCCCACCCCACCCCAATCTCCAATGCCTCCTCGGTTTTCCCGGCAGCACCCCGGGCAAAGAGGTAACAGAGCTGTTCTTCAGCACCGCGGAGTGATCAGTGCAGGGGAGCTGTCCATTTCAGCACCACCACGTTAATGCAGTAGGTGGAGAGCGGAATTCACAAGGAAAGCGAGGCGAGAGACACCGACGGGCAGCGTATCCTGCAGCAAGGCTTTCTGGTTTCCTTATCTTCAGAAGCTTTGCAGAGAGGGGGCAGGAAGGGGAAATCCATCTCGAAAACCCATCTGGCAGAAATTCCCCCCCTCCCCTGCCCAACTGTTAGCTACTACCACTCCAGAAGCTCACCACCTCAAAAGAGAGAGAGAGAGAGAGAGAGAGAGTAACAACTACTTCTCTACCACTGCCTTGGAGGAAGAGCCATGGAAGGCAAATGCTCAGCACCTGTTCAGTTGAAAGCAAGGGCTTACAAGAAACTGGCAAGTCTGGCTTGGTGGTAAAAGGAAAAAAAAGGAGAAGAAAAACAGGGTCAGAGAAGAAAAGAATTGAAATCAAAACCAGCAAACAGACAAAGTAAGGGGAAAATCCAAGGAATATACACTGGAAAGAAAAGGATTGTTCATGGCGCAGGCTGCAGAGCTAAGCAAGAAGACTGAAGGTTGCATCTCTACTCTTACAGTCTCTAACTGTCTAGGTCCAGATAATGAGAGAGTGTGTTGAGAATGCTGTTTCGGTTGCCGCTGCTGCTGCTGCTGCTGCTGCTCCCCTGTTCACTGTGGAAGCCATCTCCAAATTAGCCATCACATATGGAAACTGGAGACCAGAATTTTAGAAAAAGGGATTAAGGCATCTCATTTTGGGGGGAGGGTTACCTATTTTCTTTCTTATTTTCTTTATAATATTATATAAAATATTAACAACTGGAACGTTTTTTTTTTCCTTTTGAAAATCAAGCCTCTTCTGTGTGATTTTTTTTTCATTTACACTGATTCAGTGGGCTTTCTTACCTCTTTTTTTATATATAGATTCTCTCTATTGATCTCAAATAGTTATTAAGATTATCATTTCTTTTACTAACATTATACACACACACACACACACACACACACAAACAGCCCAAGAATCAGAAAGCAGTTGGGTATTTGTATAATGAAGAATTATGGGGCTCTTTGACAGAGGTGTTCAGATGCTTTTAACCACCGTTGGTGCTTTCGCTGCCTTCAGCCTCATGACCATAGCTGTGGGAACCGATTACTGGCTTTACTCCAGAGGGGTTTGCAAGATGAAAGGAACCGGAGATAATGAAACCAGCAAAAAGAATGAAGAAGTCATGACCCATTCTGGATTATGGAGAACCTGCTGCTTGGAAGGTATTTAAATCTAGATCTCTTCAATTCTTTCATCTTTCTTTTTCCCCCCCCCCCACTCCATACTCCCCATTCCACCATTTTCTCACTTCAATCCCAACCACAAAGAAAGCAGGGTGTTTGATTTAGTTACAGAAGAGAAACAGTCAAGTTGTCAATATAAGGCAGGCACGTTCCCATTATTCCCCCTCCCCTCCCCCGTCCCTCCATTTGTCTCCTTATGCCCTGAATTGCTTGGTAATTTCTGGTTTCTGTTGTGTTCCTTTATAAAATGCAAGTCAAAAGTTGCATAATTGGAATGGGTTGTTGGGTTTATTTAAAAAAAACAGGAGGAAATAAGTGGTCTTCTTTTTTGAACTGGATTGATGAAGTCTGGGACAGGGAAACCAAAGAAAGAAAAGCAAACTTCCTATCTAGCTGATTTTCTTTGCAACCATTTATATTCTTAAAGTCATCCTCCAACTGTAGATTGTGTTATGTCTAGGCAGCTGTCTCATTTGGTAAACTCAAATGTCCCTCATTGCCTTGGTCCAGAAGAGTTTCTTTTTTAAGCAATGGGAGGGGAAGCTTTCATAATGGTCTCCAGGCAACCATCATATAGTTTGGGTTAGATGTGGTTTTGTTTGCTCTCCTTTCTAGAACTTGGGGCTGATGAAGGGAATTTATACACTCAAATCTCCAAATGAACAAGTGGTGGAAACAGGAAGGGTGAACACCCTTTCTAACTCTTTCCTCTCCTCCTCCTCCTCCTCCTCCTCCTCCTCTAGTGGGAAAGTGAAGGAGAACATGCCAAGTCTGCTCTCACCCGTAATATGCCGGGATGGCAGCTGAAGAAGCCGCAGGCAGCTAGCTTCTAAAAAATCAGACACTGGAAGAGGAGAGAATCAGTGTGCAAGAGATGTAGGGGTATTAGTGTACAAGAGGAGATGATGATGATGATGATGATGATGATGATGATGATGATGATGATGATGATGATGATGATGCGGAGAACTATGGAGAGGAAAATCGAATGTTGACCGTTCAGGTCCTCTGGAGGGTAGGGGTGCTTGATAGTTAGGAATTCCTAATACCCCGTGTTCTTTAAGATTAGAACTAGCATGGGGAAGGGGTCAGAGTGGACACGCGTCTACAGGCTTGTGTTGTGTCCCCGCCTCAAAAGCGAGCTAGACCTGATAACTGCCAGTGATGCCAGGGCTGAGAACGGGGAAACATAACCCGCAAGATTGCAAGCGGGATCGTCTGTAGAAGCAGGGGAAAAGAACATCAAATGTGCCGAGCTGCCCTAATAATCCCTCTTTTCTCTCGCCCCAGCTCACCATTCCCTAAAAAACAAAAAAACAAAAAAAGGAAAAAAGGAAAGGGGAAAAGAGAAAGCAAACGCTGTTCTTTGGAAATGATTGTAGCCAGGAAAGAGAACATCTTCCACTCTCCCACCCACCCACCCCCAAACCCGCCGTTCTTGGTGCAAATGGTTGAGTGATGGCAGAACATGTTTTGAATAGCTAAGTGACTTCATTGAGCGATGGTCTGTTTGACGCATACTGCATTTGGTGCCCTTTCTCTCTCCAAGCCGCTGCCTTTTAACATATTCTGCAGAGGACCTTCCGCCTGGGTATCTTCAAGCCAGGGGTAGGGGGGTGGGGAAGCAAAAGCAGCCAATTAATCGAGGGTGTTTCGAATACACCCCCGAGGGCGCGCGTCCACCTCTAGGGAAGTGAGATTATACGTGCCAATATTTAGCCATCCAGCCAACCCGACAGCCTATCAGGCAGGCAGCGCCGTTTCCTTAACCCGCGAACCGAAAGCTGCGATGTGACCTCTTGATGAAAGAATACGGTCTAGAAAGCTCAAGAAAGGGGGGCTTAGAGGAGGAGGTCCGGGGCGGCGGGGGGGCCAGAAAAGAGAAAAGCCCCTTCTTCCTTCGGTGCCCTTCTCTGGCTTTAGGGATGTTTAGGCAGTTGGTTGATGGGGGAGACAGCTGGAAACAGTCGGGAAGGAGCCAAGCGACCCTGAGCAGAGATATCGGGGTGGGGGGGGAGGGAAAGGGGATGTCGCCGTATTTTGTGGTTGTGCGATTGCGCTTCTAGATCCTCGGGCACGTACCTCTGGCTCCAGGACATTTGGCGCGGAGCGGGGAGGTGAGGAGGCGGGGTGTCAAGGAGGAGAGCCGGGAAGGGGGAGGGGGCTTTCTCCTTTCGCCCGTTTTTGTAGGAGTCTCTCTTCTCCCTCCCCCCCCCACCGCTTCTCCTCCTCCTCCTCCTCCTTTCCCTCCACTCCCCACCCCCACCCTTCTCCCGCTCGCCTGGACTGTGATTGCCCGGAGATTTAAAAAAAAAGAAGAAGAAGAAGAAGAAGAAGAACCAAGGACGTTTTAATTAAAAACCCCTAATTGTCCCCACCTCAAAAGGCGCCGCCTCGCCAACCTCTTGAAATCGAGGGGCTCGTTTTTTCTCAACCGACTTCGGGCTCTTCATTCTAGCACAGCAAAATGGGTGTGAGATGTAGGAGCAGCAGCCTTGGCTCTGGGCCTACCCGGTGCTTCCCCGCTCCCTTGGACCAGGGAACTATTTTACATGCCATCCCGCAAAGCCTTTTGCAGCCCGGACTTGAGAAGCCGAGCATGGAAGCTGCTTTATTCGGGACTCTTCTTCCCCAACTCAGTTTCCTTAAGACCCTGGAAAATAAGCAAGCCGGTGCCCCCTCCGCCTGTTGCTGCCCATTCCCTAAAGCAGTGCCTAGGAAGAGTGTGCCCTCCGCCAGCTCTCAGGGTCAGGGAGCTTCTCTGCTTTTGACTTGCTCTTGGTTCTGCGCAGCTCACCTGAGCTCCAAGTGGATCTCCAGACCCAGTTGTCCCAAAAGCTGAGATTCTAGTGGATCACAGACCTTATTACTCCCAAAGGGCTGGCCGGGCAGGACTGTTGGTCTTTCCTCAGCCCCTGGCCCCAGAAGAAAAGCCTTCTGGGTGTTTCTGATCTGTCCCCTTTCAATTCTGAGATAGCTCTCCTCCACACACACTCCCTGAGAAATTCTTATGTTCCTTTCCACCAATTGAAGTTGATCACCAGGAAGGGAAAAAGGTCACTCGGTGCCTCTGCTTCCTGCCAAGGTTTGATTGAGAAACTGTTTGGCTGGATTCATACAACACACTAGATTACATCAGTGTGCTTTCAGAACACAGAACTTGTCTTAGCATGTGTATGAACTAAACCATCATCTTAAACCACAGTGTGATGTGTGGTGAACATTAAAACTGTGCTTCATTAACCCAGATCTAGGCTTTAGCATGCTGTGTGAACTTGGCTAATGTCTTTTTGTACAGTTGACCTGGTTTATATAATGCATACACATGTTAAATACATACCGTGTGTTTCTTTGGTTTTGGATGAGCATGAAGCAAGTCACTTTAGTCTGCAAACTCCGTGGTAATTTAATGTGTTGGGATTGATTGAGTAAAACATGATTAAAGAAGCTTCGCCTTCATTGTGAATATCTGAAGGAATACTGAAATAACGTCTTCAAACTGGAATTTCATTTTTAAAAGTAGCTTTTGTTATAGAGTCTGTAGTTCTTGGCAAGAGGGATTTAGGTTTTTAAATTTAATTTAGATTTCTGTTTTAAGGAAGAATCTGATTTTTCTCTGAACATGTGCAGAAAAAAAACCCAACCCCCCCACACAAAAACTCTGAAATGCAATATATTTATGCCTCTACCAAGGTACAGATCTTCTTGGATATTTCTTTTTAAGAAGCTGCCAGGGTTGTGCTTTAAAATATGGGATAGAAGTTTGTGGTTAACCATTGAGGTCCTTCTGCCAGTCCCCTCAACATAAGAGCTAAGTTAAGGTGGCCTCTGGCTGGCCCTAGTGGTCTTTCCAATTCAAATGAACAAGGACAGGGATTGATTGATTAATATTACTAGTTAATAGTGACATCAATCTGTTCTCCTTTTAAAGCTGCCGTCTTCCAAAAGTAAGCCCAATCAGACACAGTGGGCTTATTGGTTCTTTTTTTCTCTGCAAAATATATTCAACAGGAGTACGAGCGTCCCTATCCAATTATTACATGGCAACTTAATACCGTACTATGGGAGGCACTGAACTGGGATTGACAGGACAGTCACGTAGAATGTAACATCCCTGTGGGTCAGGATTAGATAGATTGAAGTATGTACTGAATGTAGCATCAGAAGCAATTTTATCTAGCCCCTAATGGCTCAATTAAAAAAACTTCAAACCATATAGTAGAACCTATGCCCACAATTTTATCCATAAGGAGAACACATATTTCTATTAAAGTTTTTCAAAATTATGTTGTATTTTCTTTTTGATATCTGAATGTAATATACATTATACATATTTGTATATAATGTTCTGGTTCAGCACATGTGCTCCATGAAGGCAGGCTGCCCATATGGTTATTATCATGGTTATTAACACAGTCAGCTAGATATTTAGACTGGATTTGGCATTTTTATCTACCTATTGAGTCCTTCCCAGGGACCTAGAATAGGCAGATGTTGTCTAATTATCTTTCTGACTATCTATCTCACCCTTTATCTATCTCTCTCATTATCTATCTCTATGGCAAGCATACCTAATACTCCTTCCTCCTCCTATTTTCCCCACAGCAGCAGCAATCTTATGAGGTGGGTTGGGCTGAGAAAAAGTGACTGGCCCAGAGTTACCCAGTCAGATTTCAAGCTTAAGCAAGCCTAGAATTCATACTCTCCTTTTTCTAGGCCAGCACCTATCCCATAAGCTGCTTGCTTAAAGATTGAAAAGGATGTTCAGGAATGCATCATTCACAGTGATGGAATTGCAATATTTAACGCCTTCGCTCGTTTTTTTCTCCTAATCAAAACTCAAAATTGTTTTTCCATCTATACATTCAAATACATCTTTTTATGAAAATAGGATCATAGGAAGCTACCCAAACCCCACTGAAATCATCAAACAGCTTTCGGTTATGCTTTTTAGACAATTATTTTTTCTAGGTCTATCTAGCGATGCTGTGGATAAAGTCTTTGGCTTGTAAACAAACTGAAACCAGCAAACATTTTCCAGTCAGATGTTGATAACTTTAGAATGGATATTCAATATTTGGAGAATAGTCATATTTTTGTAGTTAATAAACTCCCTTCCTTCTGCCATGCCTGAAGGACAAAATAAGAACTATTTAGAGTTGAAGAAGTATCTGATTTAGAAACTCTTAGAAAAATAGGCTGATAATATGCCTATTATATGATAATAATAAAAAATTATTTCAAAAGCAATTACCTTGATCTTTCAGGACAAGTTTGATTCCCAGCTCCTTATGAAAATATCTGAGGAGAAAATCTTTAAAAATTACTGATGTAATTTTGATTGCTGATTATAGATATGTAGAAAATACTCAGAGCTATTAACATCTATATCCATGCATTATATGATCTTCTTACAAATGAAGATAATTAGAATTACTAGATAGGTAAGTTAAGAACTTACATCTAAAGCAGCCTTCAGTTCAACTGTAACCCAAGAATCCAGATAGGAATTCTAAGAATTGCAATCCCAACAATTCTGGAGGTCACTAGGTTGAAAAAGGTTGCTACAGGGACTTAGTTAGGTGTAAATTCAGCTGCATTTTAGAAGCCTTGTTTCAAGTAAGCTTTTAGCTTCCTGCTGTATAGCAGATTTTTTTTTTTTTTTTTTTGCTGTAGCAGATTAATTTTCTGTACTTGTTCTAGGAAAGGATCATTTCAGTTTTTAATTGCTCATTTGCATGTCAAGGAGATGAAATCTGCAGCCTTCCTTCTGCCACACTGTTTGTTCTTGCAGAAATTGTTTTCTTTCTTTCTCATGGCTAATTCTCAGTAGTTTTTATCTATTGTTTTTGTTTAATGCTAGATCTGAGCTTCTCATAAGTAGAAACTAATGTGGTCCCCTTCTAAAGAGCTCCAGAAATAAGAAAAGAAGGATAACTTTGTGCCTTTGGAAGCACATAGGAATAAATGTGTTGTTTTTTTTTCTGGTTAAAGGCTTGGTCATGTCATTGCTATCAAAGAAAGATTGGTTACTGAGACCTGTATATAAGCAGAGGAAAGAAAGAACGTCTACTAAGAGGAAATATGGGAGATGTAAAGCAAGTTAGACATCACAGGTGGGGTGCCTAGAGTGATGACAAGAAGCTGAATGCAAAATCTAGTGTTGGAAAGAAATGCCATCTAGGAAAAAAAAATTTGGAAAATGCTAACAAACTCCCTGCTTCCCTTTTGTGGGAAATTTTGACCATGACAAAAGTCAATTCTGGTCAGAAACTGGGATAGAAGGCAGACAGCTGTTAGCTAGCTTTTTTTCTCTATTTTCTCACATTACTGAGGCCAAACCCCTATTATTCAGTTTCAGTCTCTCATCCTTTTCTCTTCATCTCTTGTACCTGTCATCTGTGTTTTACACACAGAGGCGCATACATACGCAGAGGCCCCTATGGAATTCTGCCACTGCCCTTCAGCCTCAGTCTGTTCTCGGTTTTCCAATTGCTTTCATATTAATCGGCCATCAGACTTTTTGTCTGATAGACACCAGTTGTAACTGGTGACGGGCATGCTGTTCCAGTTTTGTAACCTGCTGTGCTTGGCTTCCTCAGTTTTGCCATTCCCAAACACCTGCAAATAGTGCTAAGGCTTGCACAGCTTTGCTCTTGCACATCCAGGCGGATTTATAATACAACCTGCTGTTCCAGCCTGAGATCTCCTCGGAGCACAACATTCTCAGCTGCTGTGGATGAAGGCAGGTTGGTTGTAACTTTGCTGCATACAGCACTGTGTTGCACACAGAGCAGCAAGCAACTGCTGAGCACACTGTGCACACCAATGGCTTGTTGTCCAGATGCAGCGGAGATTGGGGAGATGTAGCTCAGTCATGCTGTGCAGATATGAAGTCCAGTGGTTGACATTTCCAGTTGAAACAATGTTCTTCAACATCAGGACTGATTTGACGAGCTGCTGTTAGAGCTGTGGCCCAGATGAACAAGCCCTCTCTCCTGCAGGAGAATAAGCTTGCTTGCAGAAGATCTGTTGTATTTTCCGTCATTCTCCCAAAATGCCTGACGGTAGAGAAAAGACAGAGCTTCTTTTGAAAAACTGAGGTGGAAGTACAGATTTTTGTCAGCTTGGTGATCATCTGCACATACAGTGCTTGATTTGATTTTAGAAACAGCTCTTACTTCTGTAGACTGGTTTGAAGGGTAGAGAGAAACCATTACAGTGCAACATGAAATCCTCAAAGATGGATCGTACAAAGAAAAAAATTAAGAAAAAGATCAAGGCTTTTGCTGGACATGTTAAAATCCTGAAATGTACCACCCTAACAAGTGTGTGAGGTTAAGATGGGAAAGGGGATGTTGAAGCTATGTTGTAGTAGCACCACCAACAACAACAACACTCTTGACAACACTGTGTGAAAAATAATGGAAGTTTTCTAATATTTTCAGGAATGCTGAAAGACACCCTCTTTGATAACCTCTCTTGTTTTTCGCTGTCTTGTGTCCCTGATTCAACCATCTTCTCTCTGTGTCTGTCTGTCTCTCTCTCTGTTCCACCCAACCACCCACCCTCCCTCTCTCTATCTCTTTATTTACACACACACACACACACACACACACACACACACACACACACACCAGGGGTGCTATTCAGCAGGTTCTGACAGATTCTGGAGAACGGGTAGTGGAAATTTTGAGTAGTTCGGAGAACCATCAAATACCACCTCTGGCTGGCCCCAGAGTGGGGAGGGAATGGGGATTTTGCAGTATCCTTCGATTCCTTCCCCTGCCATGCCCACCAAGCCACACTCACAGAACCGGTAGTAAAAAAAATTGAATTCCACCACACACACACACACACACACACACATGATTTTACTATCATCCAGAAAAACTAAGGCAATACATTTCCAAATCTCAGAGTACTGAAGTATTTGCCTCAACATGTTGTTGTTGTTGTTTTTAACAAGTAAGTCACCAACCCAATGGGTAATGGATCTAATTTCATGGAGATCTTGTCCAGATCTAAACAACTCTTGCATCATTGCTGAATGGTCCACATTCCCCTTTTCCAAAGGAAAATGGTGCTTTATATGTCTTCCTTCTTTTCTTTCTTCAAGGCTATGAAAATGAATTGATAGATTATGGAACATTTTTAAAACACGCATCTAATAAAGTTAAGGAGAATGCTCCTTAAGATCTACCCTATCTTACTCCAATATATAAACATTTTACAGCAAGCTTTCAAATGAAGGAAATGAAGAGGAGGGCAGTTATATTAGAGTCCTTTGCATTTTCCCCCCCTCTTTAATGCATGCCTTTAAAATGACCTGGAAATCCCGCAGCTGTAGGCTAAACTGGGAATTGAAAAGCAGCCAGAAAAAGACAATGGCAAAACATTTTTATACTGTGGACAAGAAAGTGGTTTTTTAAGTGGTTGAGCATAACTTGGGGGAAATTATGTCTTTACTTTCACTTAATAGAAAGACCAACCCCCCCTTCCCTCCCTGCCTTGTACAACTTCATTCCTCCATCTACATTTTTATCTCTTTGCTGCTTTTCTTAAACCCTTTTCTTTATTCCTTTGTATCTGTGTTGGCTATTTATACTTTTGTATTCAGCTCCATGACAACTTTCTTTTATCCTCATCTTCTATCATCATTCTGTAGACTTTCCATCTCACAGTTTCTCACTATTGGTGCCTCTATCTCTTTCAATGAACTCTTTTCTTTGTTATTATGACACTTCTTGCTATTGTTCGCACCTTGTTTAAAATTGCTTTTTTGATGCCTATCTTCTCAGCCTGAGTCCTCTTTCTTTCTTTCCTGAAACTGAGAAATAGGGGAGCTGCTTTTGCTCATAAGGATAAGGAAAGCTATCTCACATATGTCTGTGCACCGCCACACACACTTCCTTTTCTCAGCTCATGGCTTCCACTTCCACCACCTCTGAGAAGAAATTGAACCTGGACCTTTTTCCTCATTGTGTCCTTGTAGGATACCCCTTGTATCTAATTAGTGGTGGCCACTAATTAATATGTAGGCTGCAAGAAAATATGACAAATACAGCCGGGTAGACATTTACCTTTGCTGCTTCAGCTACACAATCCCACCTTCCCAAAGTCTGATCCATTCTAGATAAATAGAACATATGGATAGTTGGCTGGGAATTATGGGAATTGCCATGCCCATCTGAATGTACCAAGGAGAGTGTCAACCCTGAACTGAACCTGGCAGAAACCATTTTTCCTGTTCGCTATTGCCACATACTGTGGGGGGGCGGGGGGGTGATGGAAGGAATGTGCTACTAGACACAACACAAGGCTTTCTCCTGAGAACCAAGGTCATTTCCCAGGCAATGGGAGGAGGAGGAGAGAAGTGCCTGAGAAAGCTGCCAACTAAGCTAATTGGCCAACATGACAAGTGACACTTGGGGGCGGAGGGTTGTTGCTAGTATGAACTATGCTGAAACCGCGCAAAAGTGTTAGAGTTGGCATTACATTAAGTGTGCCGATATGGTGTGCCCAATAAAGGAATTCTTTGAGGAAAGCGAAAGCCTTGGAGTTCTGATTTGCTTGGCTTCATTAGTCGGAACCTTGACAAGGGGATAATGAAACCATTGTTTTAGAAGGCACTATATGCACTCTTTTGAAACAAATCTTTACTAGCATTTGCATTTGGCAATAACAATCTAGAGAGAGACAATATGTACCCCAAACCATTCAGAAGTTGTAGTTGGCTAAACAGCCTTTTCTCCTTATATGTATAGACCTATTTATGTTTACATGAATATAGGATCGTGTTCTCAAATTTGTATTTGCACAGTCATTTATGTTCCATGTTATCAATGCCATACAGCTTTATCTTTATTTAACTTCCTTTGCAATAATACTTAATTGGTTTGTATTGCAGCCAGTCTAAAAAATTCCTGAATACAGTAATTCAGTGGTTCTCAACCTTTTCTCACAATGGACCCCTTTTAAATGCCTTTTGTGGTCACAAAAGATTTAACTCAAGATTTAACTCATAATATTTCTTTAAGCCTCCGTGGACCCCCTGTGATTACATCGCAGCCCCCCCCCCCAAAGCATCAGCGGACCACAGGTTGAGAACCACTGCAGTAATTGACTGACTTAGTACTTTGGTCACGTCCAGTCAATGTTTCCCAGAGAAGAAGTAGATGTGAGATAATGTCAAGAAGCAAAACTTTAGTATCATTTTGTGCATGATGACGTTCTTAATGCAGAAATTCCTAAAATGAATAGCAAGTTGTTCAAAGTTTCATTCTTCTGATAGAAAACGTCTATTTTAGCTTTTTTTTCACAA